AATGCTCTTTGAATACTGGGAGACTTTGGGAAATTGCCATGAAGCAAGGAGAATATACGCTGAGAGCTATTAAGATAGAAAATTGCCCAATGTAAGATCGTTCGCTGCAGTGTTTCGCCGGATTGGAGAAACTTGGCATATTGTGCGAACGTGTTGAAAGCATCCTTTGGTACGACCACACCCATCAAATGGAAGAAAATCTTTCGGAGCATGTGAATACGAGTTCTTCAGAAAGCACTAGGGAACCGCATAAAATGAAAAGAATTAACATATACTGGGAGACTGCTACACGCCAGCAGAGAACATCCTTTCAAGAAAAAACGCGTGCGTCGTGAGTATTATCCTACGTACGCACAATCCTTCCGATGGTTTCTTCAACAATCGCGAATTCGGAAACCTCATTTTGTTATCTGAGGATGTCATATTTCTATAGAAGGGTCTATTCAACAGCTCTTCTGGGGGAGGCAAACCGGTTCCCTACATTAACGCGCCAATTCACTATACATTTTCTGTTATCTTTCGGGCTGGCATTTTCGGAGATGTTTTAGTTGGTCCTTCTTTTACTGTTACAGATAGTCGGTTGCGCGTTCATACTTGCAACTTTTGCGAAAAACTTTACCAATATTGCTTAAACGAATGCCATTTGAAGTGAGGGCCCGTGTGCGGCCTTAACATAATGGATGTCGAGCTCATTACGCGCGCGCTAAAAGTAATTTTCTTAAGGAGCAATTTCGATAGAAAAGGCAGGCCACCACGCTCACCACATCTTACCTGCTTTGATTTTTTCTAGAGACATGTGGGAACACTTCAATCATGTAAAGTATGTGAAAAACACGAGGTTAATATTCGCCTGCAAATTTTGGCGATTCATCTGAAAATTTTCGTTATACGTGCCACGCCCGTAATCAATCGCCCGCACAGCGAAGCAATAGACGATCCGTCATTTTCAACTTTGTAAGAAGGTGAGCAGAGGTTACTTACGATAAATTGTTGGGTAAGTAAAAATGCAAATATTTGTAGCTTTGAATTTTTTTTATTTTATCTTCTAAAGGAAGTGTATTTTACTCATGGTGGTGCTGTCGGGAGGCGCGCGTTTTCAATTTCCATCCCCCAGTTCCTTCTCAAATTGCGCAGTAAGCGAGCGTCTTCGACACCCATGTCATTGGGCGTTCCCTTTATCCCCGTTTTGAGTTTGTGCACTCAGACCTGTCTCATTCTGTGTAATCCCATTTTACCCAGTCTAACGAAGAAAAGCATTCACTCTTACTCTCCAAAAATGTGATATGCGTTATGGAGAAAGGGGGATCCCTTTGAGTCTTATTTTAAATAAAGACGTTATGTAAGAAACTTCAGAATTAAGTCGTTTAATTGTTTTACATTCCAGAGAAATTTTATTAGCTAAATCACGAAATCTTTAAAAGATCTTCACAATGACGCATAATGTCTTAGAATTAATGTTACATACTCCTAGAACGTTAAATGAGATCAGAAATGACGACTTATTGTAAATGGAACGTATGTATAAATTGAAATAACTTATTTATACATGTGATATTTGCCCCTGATTTGTAGAGAATCCTTACAGGCCGATCACGTTCGGACGCAAAGAGATTTCCAAAACCCGCCAAACACCAATTCAAAATTCAATTCAAAGCTACTTCATTTTCCGTGGCGAGGCATCCCGCAAATTCTGCTCTCCACCTAACTACGGACGCAAATTTCGCTATTCGCCACGTAGCAGCGAATGAAGGTATCACTCCGGCAACGAAATAGACGATTTGAATTTAGCTAAGAGGTATCAATTAGTCTTGAGGATCTTTTACATACTTGCAATGTACAACATGAGACTTATTTAAACACCAGTAATATTTCCCTTCTGAAGGAAGGTGTAACTCGCATTTTTTCGCCCTTAAAAATCCACGACTTCCATTGGATAAAAACTCATGAAATGGGGTATAATAGTCCTCAATCTTAACCGTTCTATCAGTAAAGCTGTCCATGAATAAAGCATTGCCTAACAATCAACGGCAAACGGCAGAGGTGTGACTTGGTTATCTAAAATGCTCTCCCATATGAGCTTCACAAACAGTGATTATCTTTGATCCTTACGTGTTCTAGACGTTTGTCACATTTATTCTGAGACACTCGGAATAACACACGAGACGAGAGTTATCAATTATTAATATTTGTCAATCAATATTTGTGGTTGCTCTTACGCACTATTTCTGTGGTGATTTTCTCAAACATTTCTAAGTTAGTGGAGTATCATTTTGATATTTACGAAACTTAGCTAAGAGGAAACATGAATTAAAGAATCGACATTTTTTGTAATTAAGTTCCTCGGTATTTATGCGCGAATTGTACAGTAATAAAAATTGTCAAGAAACTTATATTTATAAACCAATTCATGTTACAGGTCCGATGAAGTCTCTGTAATCGTTAAAAAGTGATTGGACCTATATAAAGTAAACAGTTAACGTGATGGAAGTTTGTAAACCGAAGCGATAGCCGTGGTTTATACCAAACAATCTTGTTTACTTGTGACAGCGACTACATCTCGCTCAATACGTTTTGTAAAAACGTTTTCCTTAAAAAAGAATGATGGAAATAACAATTCCTTTTCCATTGAATACGAATATGCCATCTTTAGTTACAACTCATTGGTTTCGATTGTTCTTAATAGGTGGCGAAATGATAAATTACTAAACAGACGTGGGACATTCAGAGACGCTTTTTCCCTATATTTCTTTGTGTTACGATGATATAAAAGTAAATTATTACGAAATCTATTGAAGAGCACGTTTTCTGTAATAAGTGTTTCATTTTTGTACCAGATCTAATCTAGAGACCCATCCTCTTAATGAGCAGCTCAAGCGTAACAGTTTGTCTAAGAATAAATGTTAAAAAATCATAGAACATATAGAGGAGTTGAAGATCAGCAATTTTTACCAGTGAACATGAACATATAGATTGTGAGTTACAATAGTGGCACAACACAAAAAAGCAGGTGTTCAGATAGATGAGTTTCATGTTTTCATAAAGTATTGAAATCATGCTTGGATTCACACGTCTGCCATTTGTTAGCAGCTGTGCTGTAAGAGATGCTGCTGATAGAGCAATCTGCAATTCTGGAGAGTGCACTAACTCGAAATTCTAATTTTTGGGTTGTGCCACGATTGCAGCCCACAGGCAATTTAATGATGTTCTGCGTGCCGTTTGTTCCTAATAGATAGACAACTTCTCATGCACCTTGTTAAGGTTATACGAAACGTTATAACACGTGACCTACCGAATACAAGTACATGATGAGGTGCGTAACAATCAGTGGCAACTGTAACATGTGTGAATCTATTACATTCAAAGTTTTCAAAGTTTCCACTGTGTCTTCATCGGCTTCAATATATATCTTCTCCTCTACAGGGCCCGGAGGTTTGGATTATTTATTCTGAGACACTGTAGCCAAAGTATACTCTTTGGTAGGATGGGTGTTGAGATTAAGACAGGTGCAAAAATTAAATACGTTTTGAAAAAAACGACGGTTATACCCTTTTCGTAATAATGTACTCTTATTTTGACAGCGCAATCAAAGAGATGAATGAAATGCTACACTGTACTACCAGATTTCGTTCAGGAATTTAACAGGCCGTTGTCAGCTAAGAAATTGAAGAGTCAACCATCCGTTAAGAGCAGCCATTAACCAGAATACATTCATTGGCAAAAAGTGATATCTTATTTCCTACTACATTTAGAAATTTGTAACATTAATTCAGAGAAATGTTGTTCGGAGTACCGCCGTGACCACTTTTTTAAGGATCCCGAACGCGAGCTTGGGTAGGATATCGCCTTGACTTCGATGTGGCATGGCAGGCCCCCAACACCATGTATCAACTTCATTACCCATTGCTCCCAAGACCTCTCCCTGTTCGAATGTTGTATGAATGTGACTGACAGCATGCCAGGGGCTGCAAGCTACTTAATGGGCCTAAGGGCTACAACACGAGGGCCACGGATGGCCATTAAACCTTAGTACTTGTAAAAGGTTCCAATGCCATCACGGGCGTATGAGCCACAAGTGCGGGGTAAGTGCTCGGCTCCAATGGGCTTTCGAGTCACCGCAGTGGTTCTGAATGGAGGGAAGAACCAACGGCAGCCGGAGGTAAAAGTCAAGGGTGTTAAAAGAGACCAGCAAGCGCAGGAGGATCACCGAGAGGTTGAAGTTAATGAAAATCGCCCGAAGCCGATGACGATGACGAAACATTAGGGTGTTACTCAGTAAATGAGGGACTTAACTCCGAATAGTAGGTTATTGAGCGATGCGTATGTGATATATTGTTATGTGTAGAGCAGAGAAATAATGAAGGAACTGATTAAAGGGTCATAGTAAAGTGAAGTGCAGTGTGGTCTTAATTGAACAAACATTCAGTGCGGAGTTAGATTATAGAAGTTTCTTTTCCTTAAGGTTATTTAATGTTTTATGAATTAAACAGTTTTTACATTATTATTATTATTATTATTATTATTAATATTATATAACTTGCATGTTAGGAATATTGTCGCACCTCCAATAGAAAAGTGACACCAGTGCGAATTTCTGATTTCTCAGAAATTGCAATTTTAAGTTTCGTAGTTCTGCAATACCCCGTTATAGATTATACTAAATATTCACCTTCTAGCGGACAGTAATTGAATTAATTCATAATCAACTTCAGAATTGTAGCTGTACCTCTTAGTAACCTCGTATCAACTTTAAGCTGAAAAATGACGATTTCGCACTTGTGTCACTTTTTTATTGGAGGTGCGTTATCTTATTTATGTAATTAGCTACCCTTTATGTAATTAGCTCTGCCCATGTGCAGTTTCAATAAATTTATCTTATCTTGTGTGGCTCACCTGGCGAGGAGGGCTCGAGCGAGCCGCGCACAGACGCCAGCCGCGGCCGCTCCTCCTCCAGCGTGACCTTGGCGCTGGCGTGGTACAGCTGGAACAGGTTGGCGTCGCACTGCACCTCCACGCGGCTGCCCTGGAAGATGGCCTGGTTCACGTCCAGCTCCAGCCCGATGGTGGTGACTTTGCGCGTCGACACGTCGCCGCTCCGCACCACCGGGTGGCTCACCCAGAAGCTCTCGTTGATCTGCAACACGCGTGCCAGGCAGCGTCAGCCACAACGGGGCATTTGGTGGACCACACGGTACATTGCTTGTTAGTGTGTATCTGGTAAAATTACATGAAACCGAATAATGATAATTTCGTGTAAGTGTGAGATTCTATCAATTCTATAAAACAAAACCTGAATATAACGTCATATCAATATTTGCACATCCGAGCCAGCAAAGAGATCAAATAATATCAATTTTATGCTCTTAAAGAATGAAAATTGGCTCCCTTTCAAAAACACACTATATGTATTTGCAATTTAATATTTAATCAAATAAATACATATTTAAATGCTGCATAAAATTATATTTTATTGGCGTCAGTGACTAAATTAATTTATAAAGAATGTGTCAATCACTCCTTATTTGAAATCCATTTTTATAAAAAAAGTCATTTTATATTAACCCCGTGGGGCTATATGTGAATGTAAAATTTAACGATTACATTGAAAATGTGATACGTAAAATATTGTTCCACATTCGTATAGCACATCTAATTACAAAAATAATTATTTTGTTTAAGTATCGCTATATAACCATCTTTTATATAGCGACCAACAAATGTTGTACACGACCTCCCGTTACATGACTGTTCCAGTTCAATAGAATAAGAGCAAGCACAGGCTGCGTTGCTATCTGCAGGACTAAGCGATAGCAACAATCAAATGCCGGCGTGTTCTGTGTTGGAACAGCACCCTCAATTGCTCCGCAATGGTTCGGAAAGTGACGCCACTTTTGATCAGCGGTATTTGCAAACTCCACTCTGGAAGATATCCTGTTTGAGCTAAAAGTGTTAGTACTCGTAAGTTGTTCGATTAAGTTTTCATAAAACTGAATTGGAAGAACTGCGAATTAAATAAATAGGAGTAGATTAAACTACATAACTATTACAGATGAACAAAAATAATCTTTTATAACACAGCAAACAATCCTGCTTCAAAAGTCTCAATTTGTATAGGTTTTCTCGCTGCGAAAACATGTGGCTCTAGCCCTAAATTGGACTGATAAATAAAATAAAATAAAATAAATAAATAAATAAATAAATAAATAAATAAATAAATAAATAAATAAATAAATAAATAAATATATGCATACATAAATAAATAAATAATTTTATTTGTGTTCATTGGAAAAAGTACTATCTCAAAGAAGTATTGATCAACACAAATGACAAAATAATGTCCTTGATATTTTATACACTGGAGATAAAATTTAAAAAAAATGTTGAAAAATCATTTTCAACATATTTTCGCTTAACGCAAATGGGTCTTTACTTATTCAAAAAGAGCATGAAAACGAATAAAAAATAAAAAAAACATCATTTAGATAGAAGTGGCACAATAGTAACAGAAAACGTGTCAATCACGAAAGCGTGCTTTACAACGAAATGACACATACAATTCCGCAAAGGAATGGTATTGAACTTCCGGTGAACGCGTTTAGACGCCCCGAAGCTCGACAATCGTAAACGCGACAGACAGCGACATCGATGTAATTCCCCCAGGAGAAAGAAGCCCGCAGAGGGTAGGAAGACGGGGCACCCATGCCCTCTTCCTCCGGGGAGCAGGCGTCTCCGCCAGCGACGCCGCCGCCGCCGCCGCCGCCGCTAAAGGAAGGTTTTATTTCCCCTCCGAATGAATGTTGATCGCTGGCGGAAGACGGCGAGTTTCGCAAGTCAAAGGAACGTCATGTCCGGCTGGCGCGACGGCGCGGCGGAAGTCTCGCTGTTGACGCGCTTCCGCTCGGGGCGCCATTGTCTCGCGCTTCCGGCCTCCCCTGCTCCACCCCCCGTTCCGTTTTCCCCGTGTAATTTACAACGCGCTTCAGAATGCGGGCGCTCCGCCGCCGCCGTCGCCATCGTCACCACCTCCCCCGCGCATTATCATATTGGAGAAGAGACTCTGTCCCCTTCGCCAGCCTCGGCGTTTAACTTAAGAGTTTGTTTTGAGGAACCACTGCCTACTTTCGCCCGTAAACTTTTACTTATTTTCCACTTTAGTTCGTCTTTTGTTCGCGTCCCGCGCGAATGCGAATTTTTAATAAGTTTGGTCGGTGGGCTTTCGCCCGAAGAGCTGACAGCAACGTCGGATAATCGCCCTGCACCTTCCAGAAGAGTTTCGTGGGATTCGGTTTTGTTCTAATATTTCGTTCCAACGAGCACATCTTTTCAGCAACGGTAGCTTTTGAAAGTTTTGGAAATACTCATTCACATCGCCTTTAATGTTGGCGAAAATATCGGGTGACCTCAATGTCATCCAGAAGAAAAAGATTTTCTTAGCGACGTGCTATTATTTTCATAGCGATTGAGTGCAATTATTTAAAAATTTAATTATTGAATGCAAGTAATTAATATTTACCACATCTGCTTGAACAGCATAATCTCATTCCTTTGCAGTACAACTATAAACGTTAATATGCTAGATAATTGCAATATATGAAATCAAAAGTCCATGCATTTAATTGGATTTCCTATTTTGCGTAGAATTTAATTGGTGTTAAACTCTTCTTTTCTTGATTTTCTTTTACGAATGCACTTTAATGTTGAGTAGGTAGATCCTGCCTAACCATCACCGCTAGTTAAGCAATTTATACTTTTTACAGTGTTTAGTTTTTATATCGTTTTAATTTTCATTATCTTTAATATTTACACTAGAACAGTTGACTATGCTATTTGCAGGAGGAACTAATTTTTCTTCAAATTGTTATTTACTCCTATCGCAATTCTAATGGCGAATATGCTCTCAATACAGGGAAACTTATTGACAAATCTTTGCTCCTTTCTTTTCGTATTATGGAAGATTCAACCAAGGAAAAGACGAAAAATAATTCCGGTTAGTGTCAAGTTATATTCATTTCGGCTAGCATATTAACATCCTAGCGCAAAGTAGTCTTCTTTTGCAGTTGTTTTCAAATGATCTGCAATAACAATTAAACGATCTCAATCAAGTAAAAATTACTGCAAATCATAAAAAAATGTCACAGAAGATCAATTGTTGATACAAATACGTGGTATTATGTACTTCCACGGGTGTCACATATGTGAATATTAGAGCAGATTTGCAACTTACAATATCCACTTTTTCTTCATACATGTTATTTTAATTCAATTTTACACTTAGCGCAATAATATAACGTTATGTATCATTATTGTTTAATATATCATACATATTAAATATAATTGTTTAATATTTTTGGTCAAAATGTTAATAAAATAATTGGTCTATAGCAATGTTAATAAAACTTTTAAATCGCATACAGACTCTCCGACGAAAACAACTTTTCATATTTTGTATCTCATCAATTACAGTATATGAGTATTCTCTCGCATTCCTTCATTTGCCTAAAACACTCCGCAAAACTGCCACCCTACCCGAGAATGGCGACTCTTAACTTCCGGGTCGGGATTCACAGGCCGTCAATCAGTGAAGAGGAGTGAATTTATATTCGAGTCTAATGGCATAAACAATCTGTCATTCTAACCACGAAGCAAAGTCGATTTTAAATGTCCGGGTAGAGATTCAAAGACAGTCAATTAGTGAAGAGGAGAGAACTGTGAGTGAGTCTAATGATGATAACGCATAACGAAACTGCCATTTTATCCACGAAAGAAAGACGACCTTTTACTTTTGGTTCGGGATCTACATGTCGTCAATCAGAGAAGAGGAGCGAATTCTTGATGAGTCTAATGGCGATAACGCATTAACCCCAATCATGGCAAACATCATATCCGTGATGACATCCGCGCGATACCTCATCGTTACGCGGCGTCCCCGCGCAGGGCCACATCATTACCAGGGGCTGCTCCATCTGCTCCCGGCTACAGCCGCCGTCGTCCCGCCTGCTCTATATTCAATACACCCATCTCCAAATTGCCATTACACCACGCAACGACGCAAGGGGTGCCATTTTCGTGTAAGGTGCAATGAAAGCACATTTACATGACGATAATAGCGTAGGCGCACCCCATTACCACTCTGGAAGCTGTCAAAAGTACACCATTGATTTATCGTTGAAAAGGTGATTTGGCTGGGTATTGAAATTAATCATTTTCATTTGGAATATTGGTGCCAATAGTGAGTGTCAATGTAATACAAGTTAATTTCAATTAAAGTGAAGGCAATCTTTGCAAATCTGTTTACAATAAAGAGTTCATTAATCAGTAGAGGAATATTATTATGGATAAAACCTAATACAGAGAATGAATTATCTATTTTTTCAATAATTGTAATCGTCTAATAATTGAACTAAATTTGCACTAATATCATTTAATTTTTCCCTTGTGTTAATGATATTTCCAAGTTATAAAAAATAATTATGTACTAGCATTCAGTTTCTTTCGTTTATATTCGAATGCTGACTGAATTAAAAGAGTTAATCTACATAATGGTTTCTACGGTTGACATTTACTGCCCAAAGTATTATACAACTCATTGGCAAATTGTTAGAGTATATGTATTTTATAGAAATCATTGCTATCGTAAAATTGTTTCATCATAAAATGATATTTCCACATTCACAGCTTCCAGCCAATTATAAATAAATAAATATCATTACGGAAAATATAAAACATTTCAATTACATTTCCAGTAACATGTTTATTTCTGTGTTCATAGTGAATAGTGATTTCATTGTTCTTAATTTTTATTGTTAAAGAATTGAAACTCCCCCCCCCATCATTCCATTAGTCTTGGTGAATAATTAATGAATGACATAAAACAACAATTTGTTGTGTTCAATCTTCCATATAGTGCATGTAGTACTTTTCTTTTGGCACCATTCTACAGTCTGTCCTTGCTGTTAGGCGATGTAAATGCAAGTGTTGAGCTGTTTTTAAGTTAAACTTCCTCTGATGACAAAAATGTATTTTATCTGAATATGATGCACCATAAAATGAGAAGTGTTACGTATGATCTAGTAGATGTAGAAAGTTTATTTTTATATCTGCAGTGTGTGAGTTGGAATTACACTGAATTGAATT